GCACCTTATTGTCCACCTCCCCATAATACTACCCCAGTCAACACCACACCCTCTAACTCCCTCGTCATTTAATTACATCCACCACAAATCTTTTGAGTACTCTTTTGGCCTAGTTAAGTGGGATTCCTTCATACAGCCCCTTTCTTTTACAATATCCTCCTCTTCCAACTATCCAAAAACTAGTAGAGGATTTTGATCGTTTACGCCTTGTCAGTTATATCCGAGTCCCAAACTCATGGACCATACTGGAACTGCTCCTCTCCCCTGCCCTGTCTGACCATATCTTTTGGTCAGTGTCAGAAATGTTAGCGTTTAGCCACCTTGCCAAGCACTGTTGCCTGCAACCCTCTATGTGCCAAACTTGGTATGATTATTCAAAGTGCTCTGTGCAGTCACGCACTTGTGTTAATTGTAATGACTTCCACAATGTGTTTATAGAGGCTTCCCTACCTACCAGTTTCGAGTCTGAGGTAGCAGTCCTCAAGTTCAAATTTGGCCTCACTTTACGCGAAGCCAGATAGGAAGCATGCCGATGAGGTTTTTCTCGTGCTCTCTGCCTTGATGCTGACCTTTGCTTTGCCAAGCCCTCTTCTCTCCCAAGATGTTCCTGCATCTACCCCAGTATCTCTTCTTCCTACTCCTGATGTTCCCACTTTTAGCCTCTCCCTCTCTGGTCACATTCTTTTGTCATTCCAAATCCAGACATACTAATCTCTACTACTTCCGGGTGCCTACCTCTCCTTGCTCTACCCATGGCATCAAACTAAATGATCCACCCCATCTCCTATGCATCTTCTCTTGCACATACCTCTGTCTCTGCTCCTCAGATGTCCATCCCCTCTTCTCCCCCTAATAAGACCGTTTCTCTGACTTACCCTTTCTAAATCTCTGCAGGGCAATAAAAAATTGTGATCATGACCCAAGAAGAGATGCCTATCTCATAACTTCCCTATCCATCTGCCATTCCCTCTATATTCAAAGTAAATGCCGATATACATACTTCCATCCTCCTCATGTTCTTCCAACACCCTTCCTCCCACCACACCCCATCCCCCCTTTTCCATCTACACCAACCAATCTGATTTCCTCACTCCCGTCATTTTGTTTGCATACGTATCTGCTGACTTTACCCCAGCTGATGCCAGTCACTCCCAGCTGAACCAACATGGAGCCAGGTTGTGCACACAAGGTTCCCTGCAGCAACTGAGCTATGCTGCATTCTTTATACACTGATGCATTATAGTTGCATTGTGGCATCTATAAGATGAAAAGGCTTCAGGAGTCAACCCTGGAGCCTGAGGCATTTCATTCTTGCTTGCAACCTGGTTTTGGTAACTCGTTTGGATCTGTCAGCTGTGTGGAGAGAGGGAGCCTGCTGCAGGAACAACGGCTTACTTGCTTCTTTAAATTCTTTAACCCATTGCCGCCGGGGAAAGTGAACAAAAAATGGGGGAAATGCAGTACTCATTTTTTATATTTTTGTGAAATATCTCTGTCCATAGATGGCTCTGCTAGTCCTGATTTCATCTTTCCTTGAATTGGCGGGAAAAAACGTATTTTTACTAGTGCTATAAAGATCGATGGTGTTATTTTTAACGGCAAATTAGGATAACGTTAAATATTTTCGTAAATCGATGAAAAGGGTGAACGGGCGAGATAGGCAGTACTGTAATTGGCTCATTGGATACTTAGTACAAGTGTAGCCATCTATGGGTAAAAACAATCAAACAAGTCGACTCACAGTGGGCATGGCATGTACGTACATGCCATCCCCGGCGGCAATGGGTTAACTCAAGCATTAAGGAGTGGGTAAAAACAATGCCATAGTCAACAGTGACTGATGGTGGTTAATGGTTAATGGTTAAAAGCAAGATAAATGTGCTAGACATCTAAGGTCATGTAGCACTATAGTTAATGTCAGTGAAGGGTGGTTGAGTTAGTGATTAGTTGTCTAAGCTGGGCAAAGGAATTAGTGAGTGAAAGGGTTAAGGTCGGGTGTTATATTAGATAAAGGGTATGCATAAGAAAGGTTTCTTGAAGGCATACAATAGATGGGTTATAAGAGGAAAGGATATGATGGTCAGGTGTGTGGGAGCGGAAACCGCGAATATTCCAATGAAGGATAGTTATACTTTCGTTGATTTAGTGATATAGATTGTAGTACGTGTTGGAGAATTTGAAGGGGAAGCAGCTAGAGGGTGGGATAAGGACAGAGGTTTGAGATGGGAGAGGTGTGGGAGTTGGTGTTCTATCAGGAGGGGTATTAGGAGATGGAGGGTCTGAGGAAGGGGATACTTGTGACATAAGGGATTCACGTGTGTATCCAGGAGGGAGTGGAAGGGATAGAGGGGATGGTGGGAGAGTTAATGTGGGTGGGGTTGGGGTCAGGGGGGATGGGCTGTGTTGGGAGGGGGTAGGAGGGTAGGGTGTAGGGGGGATATCGTTAGGAGGAGGATGGATATCAGCAATTACTTGGAGTGTAGAAGGAGCAGGAGTTGTAGGTTGAGTGTCAGTTTTCATTAAGTAATCTTGAATATTTTCAATAGTTTCTTCTGTGGAGTTGGTTGGGGAGTTTTGGGGGATAAAGGATTTCTTGTGAGGGGGGGAAGAGAGGACTGGTGTCTCAAGAGTACGGGCAAAGGATGGTGGGGGTGATTGTGTGGTAGGGGAAGAGGGGGTGGAACGTTTGTTCTGTCTGTTACGGGGAGTGCGAGGAGGGAGAGGGGAAGGTGTTGGGGTTGTAGTGGTGATTGGAGTATCTGTAGTAGAGATTGGAGTTTCTGGATTTAGGATGGCAAAAGAGTTTGACTGGGGAAGGTAGGTGGGGTTAGTGGGGGGGTTAGATGTAGGAGGGGTGGGTTTAGGAGAAGTGTTAGAATGAGCAGTATTACTGGAGTAAGGAGTAAGAGAGAATCCACGTCGACGTGCTTCCTGTCTGGCTTCACGCAGTGTGAGTCCGAGTTTGAATCTGAGAGTTGCTACCTCAGATTCAAATTTGTAGGGGGACAGCCCCTATAAAATACATTATGGGGGCCGCCACAGTTGGCACATGTGCGTGATTGTGCAGAGCAGTTTGATCGGGTATGGCCAGGTTGGGCACATAATGGGCATCTGGCTGTGGAACGGCAGTGTTTGGCTGGGTGTCCTAGACGCCAACAATTTTGGCACTGACGTGGAGGAGGTTGGTATGGACGAACAGGGAGGGATTCTCCTCCTATGTAGACGTTAAAGGGAAGGTCATGTCTACGGAAGGTAATTTTGGCTATGTTAGTGGGTTTCTTTCGATGACCTCTGGGGGGGGGATTGTACTGATGTTGCATCGTAGTCTGTGAGACAGGCAAGTAGATCTTCTCCACAATCTGACCAATCTTTGTCATAGATTGGGCAATTTGTTGGTGAGATTGAGACTGTTCCGGTGCAAGTATTGAGGGTTGGATGGGGTTCTGCTAGGATGGGGTTACCATATAGGTCAGTTAGTTTTGTTAATACTATGGCTTGGTTTTCGGATGTTACTGTTACAAGACGGGAGCGGTCGGGTCGGCTACAGAAAGAGACTTTACCTACTTGTTTTTGGAGGCATTGTTGGAAGAGAAGGGTGTTGTCAGAGTAGGGAACTGTGGGAGGGATCACGAAAAATCGGTCCCATTTGGCTGCACTGAAGAGAGTATTCAAGATTGTTTTAGAGATAGGGGTGGTAGAAGGGCGAGGGCGTGACGAAGATGGAGTAGTGTTGATGGTGGTAGTGTTATGGAGAGGTGGGCTATAAGGCTGTAAGATATTAATAAGGGAGGATGGGGTGGTTGATGTTGGAGGTTGTGGGGGTAGAGGTGTTGAAGTTGGGCATGCTGGGAGAGTGGAAATGTTCCTTGAGGGTTGATTGTTGGCTACTGTACTAGTAGGCATTGGTGAAGGGGCAGTTATTGCAGTGTTCGGAGCCGTGGTCAAAGGAGAGCCTGGGGTCGGGGAATCGGGTGGGTTTACTTCTTTGGGGCTATTTGATAAAGGGGCAAGCCTCATTGCCCCTAACAGTGGGGATATATTTTCATTACTGGCCATGGTAAGCCTGGTTATGTTGGGGATAAAAACAGTCCACCCCTCAGGGTCCCCTTGAGGGGTAAGGGCTAGATACTAAATCAGGGGAATACCGTGCCCATGGCTCCCTCAGGCCGTTCAGGACTGGCACAAAGTCAGCCTTTCATCCTTTCAGCACGGCTCTCACACCTTAGGAGGTGGATAGCAGAAGGGTTTGGTGAAGGGACAGAAACAAAAGTGGGAAGGGAAAAAAAGACCATGCATAATTAGTTGAGTCGAGGGCTGAGTCCCAAGGTTGGGGAGTTCCCCATCATTGGGTCCCAGTCTCCGCCTCCTAAGCCCCCCACGACAACAACGGCCAAGGGATTGGGGGGGGTGACTGATGGTGGCATTCTATGTTATATTATAATGTATTATATTATATTAAAGCTACTGGCAGCAGGGCAGTGGTTTCTGTAGAAAGTGTTTATCAGTGCAAATGATAGTTCATGACAGATATAGAATATTTCTGGCGGAAGTTTAGTCCTACAGAAAAAATTTAGGTGCTTATAGCCCCAGATCACATCCCAAAACATAATTTGTGGTTTATTAGCCTAATGATCCTTCCATATGAAGATGGTGGTGATTATATAATATATGCATGTCAGATACCTACAGATATACACACATTTCACATTTCCAAAAGATAATACAAGGAAAATAAAAGGCTTTGTACTTTTTCTGCTTTGTATTATCAAAATATCTGTTTTTATTGGCACTCGCTTTCTTTCCTTTATTATTGGTTTTCTGGTCAGAACCTCCCTTTCCTCCTTTGGGCGTTTTCTTCAGGATCTGTTTCATTGCAAAATTGTAGAGATCCTTGTTGTTTTCCTGAAGGCTTATGACTGATTCTTCAAGCTCATTCTTGTAGTCTGGCCCCTTCTCCGGCTCCACACTATCAAAACTGATAAGAAAAAAAAAAAGTTTTATAGGATGTAAATGCATTAATATACATTAAATATACATAAAATGTAGTCTGTTAGGTTGGCAACAATTGTTGAATGTTGTAATTGTCAGTTTTTTTTCTTCTTTTGACAGGGAAAGAATATGTAAGTGAGCTGTTTGGTGCATGGATATGAAGATTAAAAAAAAAAAAAAAAAATCATTAATATGAACATTTTTACATTCATATTATGCTATGACCTTTGATATTTAAGACATTAGTTTTAACCATGAACCACAAGCATAAACTTATGAATCAAAAGTTGAGGCAGCAGAAATTTTTCAATAAATAAATAAATATCATTACCTTGATGGCAATGATGATAATGATTTTGATAATAGTAAGGATAATGATTATGACAATAACAATACAGATAATAATAATAATAATAACAATGATGATGGGAATGAGAATAACAACTACAATAATAATAATTACAAAGAAAATAATACTCGATCACTCTACCACAATCACATTTGGATTGTAGGTGATTTCAACCTCATGATATTGACTGGACCACTACATCCCCTTTTGACCCCATTGTTGCAAACAATGGGGTCATCCCCCAAATGAACAGGTGCCAACTATCCCCTTCATAACATCATGAATATCTTCTCTCTCAAAAAGAGTACTCAAACCACAGTAAACACAAACCACCATATGCCCTGCTGGCAAAGGAGGCCCTTTAACCACTGCCCACAAGGTAGACCTCTTCTTCACAAACACACTTCACATAACAAACCTCGAGAAGGTTCCAAGACCAAGTGACCACAATATTATTATTCTTGATGCAAACATCTGTCCGACCAAGCAGAAGTGTAGACATGGACCAATCTTGCTATTCTCAGGAGTTGACACAGACTCTATCATACTGGACATGATGACTTACTGAGACAACTTTTTATCTTCCGAACCCTACTACCTACTACTACCTACTACCATTCATAACTGGAACAGCCTGAAACACTCCATACAAACTTCCATCAACAATCATGTACTACAAAAAAAAGACCTTTGAGTAGGTATACAATCCCCTGCTTTTCCATAGGCCTATGCAGACAACATTGAAGAAAACAGACTACAGAAGCATGCAACCACACAACACACCAGAGAATTGGACTGCCTTTGAATCTTTACAAAAAAAAAATTAGCCAAAAAACATAAAACAGGCTGAATGCAAACACATTAGTAAATATCTCACAGACAACATAAGAAAGTACCCTAGACACTTCTTGAAGTTCTTCAAGGTGTGCAGACAGGACACTACTAACATAGCTGTACGGAATGACAACAAAACCACTCTTGTCACCATGCCAAAACACAAAGCACACCTAATAACACAGTTTCACACTGTCTTCACACAAGAAAACCCTATTATACCAATCATGCCATGCAGCACTCACTCACCCGACACTTGACATCAGAGCAGATGGAATAAAAAAAACTACAGGAGTAACTGGACACAAACAATTCAATTAGACCTGACAAAATCTCTCACTTCTTCCTCAAACCCTGTGCCCTCATTCTCCAAACCATGCTTACAAAATCCCTCAGAACATCCTCTCCCATCCCCTCACCTCCATTGTCTCCAAAATCCTTGAACACATCATACACAGACACATAATGAGTCATCTTGACACATCATCATACTAACTGACACAACATGGATTCCAACCCAAACAATCATGCAAGTCCCAATTCGTTGTTATTCATCACAACATTTCCAGACTCCTAGACAGATGTGATGTTAAAGAAATAGATGCAATAATGTTAGGCTTCACCAAAGCCTTCAGCGAAGTACCTCACAAATAACTGACACAAAAATGACAGTTTTACAGAATTACTGGCCAAACTCTTCACAGGATCCCAGCTTTTCTTTCTAACAGGACCAAATGTGTTCTTCTTGACAATATTATATCTAACTGTTCCTGTCTCTTCTAGTGTCCTTTTCCTCCTCTACATAAATGACCTCCTATTTCTACAGCTAGACTTTTTGTTTACGAAATCCTCATCTATCGACCAATTAACCCATTGCCGACGGGTATGCCATGCCATGCCCACTGTGAGATTACTTGTTTGATTGTTTTCACACATAGATGGTTACAATTGTACTAAATCACCAATGAGCCAGTTCACCCTTTTCTTTGATTTACAAAATATTTTACATTATCTTATTTTGCTGTTACTAATGTTAAAAAACATTATAATAATTATAATGTTTATAATAAAATTAACACCATCGATATTGATGGCACTAGTGAAAAATATGTTTTTCCCGCTGTTTCAATTGAGGCACTACCAGAGCGATCTATGGGCAAACATTTCACAAAAAAAATATAGAAAATAGGCACAGCATTTTCCCCAGTGGCAATGGGTTAAATCACCTGATGACTGTAAACTCCTCAAGACTGATCTAGACTCTCTTGAGCAATAAGAAACTACAATGCAAATGAACTTTTGGCCAGACAAATGTAAAATCATAATTTCACTCTTTCTCAAACACTTATTAAATTCTCATATTTAATTCACTCAACAATTATCTAACACACCATCACACAAATATTTGGGAATCACACTACACATCAACATGAAGTTTAACACAAACATAGACAATGTACAATACAAAGCTAATGGAACACTGGGTTTTCTGAGGAGGAACCTACACAGCTGTCCACAAGACACTAAACACATAGCTTACAAATACAATAAAAATACCAGTAAATTAGAAAAGATCAATGCTACAACGGCCAGGTTTATTACGAACAACTACACTAAAACTCCTGGCATCACAACATGCATCAAACAACAACTACATAAGGACACCCTCACAATACATAGACAAGCATATAGTTTACCAACCATGCTCAAAATCACATTCAAACTGACATAAATAAACCTGATAATTTACACCATGCAAACACAATCAATACATGCAATGCACACAACCATAAATGCGTGACATACCACACTAATACAGATTCTCACAAACAACCCATAATTTCCATGCACCAATTGTGACTGGAACAGACTCCTACAACACAAAATACACACAAGCAAAGCAGATACCTTCCACTAGTAACCCTAAGAACACATGCACAAAACACTGAAGCTTAGTCATCCTCACTCTCTTTTTCCCCCCAACACCCAACCGCTTATATGAGCGTGATATGCGCTAACCCATTGCACCCTACACTAAAAAACTATCAAGATTGAGACAGAGTAATAATAATCACAATAAAAAGAACTAGTAGTAATAATATTAATAATAATAATAATAACAATAATAACAATAATAATAATAATAATAATAATAATAATAATAATAATAATAATAATAATAACAACAAAAATGAAACGGTAATAAAAATATACTAAAAATTAAGACTGATGGCAATAATGAAAATAATAATGGTAATAAAAATAATAATAATAATCAACAATAATAATAAATGATGACCACTATGATAACAATATCAATATAATAATAAAATGTGATGATTAAGACAATTATGATAATGATAATGACGATGGTGAAGATTACAATAACAATAGCATTAATAACAACAACAATAATAATAATAATGTTGATAATAAAAGTAATGATAATAACTTGACAATTGTACAGCCAGAATATGAGCAGTAAACACATTGTACCTCCATCTCTCAAAGTTCTCACCCATTAGTGCTAGGTACTTTAATGCTCTTTTGTCGGGTTTTTGTTCACACGTGGATAGCTTCACAACTATTTCATCACCAAGAAGTCAATTATTAGACCTACCTGACCTCACCTGATTATCTTATTCCTTGAATCTTTGTGTTTGTCTTTCTCTTTTTTCAAATAAAATACTATGACTACTATGCTTTTGTTTCTAATAATCATTACCATTAACCCTTTCCCAATGGGCATGGCATGTACGTACATGCCCACAGCGAGTTTACTTGTTTGATTGTTTTGACACATAGATGGCTACACTTGTACTAAATCACCAATGAGCCAATTATGAGTTCTGCCTATCTTGCCCGTTTACCCTTTTCTTTATTTTATGAAAATATTTTACGTTATCTTATTTTGCTACTACTAATGTTTATAACATTATGTTAATATCATTATTACATTATGAACAATATAAATAGGTAGTAATGGATTCCTTGGTGACTAAGCACTTGTGGAGCCATTTGTGTGTAAATGAAATTAACCCATTGCCACAGGGGAAAATTAATAAAAAATGGGGAAAATGTTTTGCTCATTTTCTATATTTTTTTGTGAAATGTTTCTACATATAGATGGCTCTGCCTTACCTGATTTCATCTTTCCTTTAATTGGCGGGAAAATGTATTTTTTTACTAGTGCTATGAATATCTACGGTGTTATTTTTATTATAAACATCATAATTCCTATAACGTTTTCGAAAATTAAAGAAAAGGGTGAATGGGCAAGATAGGCAGAACTCATAATTGGCTCATTGGTGACTTAGTACAAGTGTAGCCATATATGGGTAAAAACAATCAAATAAGTAACCTCACAGTGGGCATGGCATGGCATGCCTATCGGCAATGGATTAATATACTAAAATTACTGTCAGTAGGACATGTATATACGCATTTTATAAATAAAGGACATATTCAGAATATTTCATAATTCTCTAACATACAATCATCTCTACAGTATTGTATTGGGCTAAGAATTCCTTTTTTACTGTTTTTAGCCTTTTCTTTTCACTTTTTATTTCCTCCAATCCCTCTCCAACCTTCATTTCTGTCTTCAATTACAAACATTAAAATAAACAATCAAAACCTCTACCCACCACGGATCAGTAGCAAAATTGAAGATGTCCAAATGTTGTGGCTGTGGTTTCCCTTTGCCTCGAAGAGGAATATTAATTTCAGTATTGAGTGGATTAGAGAAGTCCTGACTGAAGGGAGCAATGACCTCCTCTATCTCTCTGTCTGCATCTGAGAGGGCCTGTTGGAAGAAAGTTGATGCATGATAGTGCTAATGGGAGTAATTAATAATAGTAATTAATATTATTATAAATGAATTAACAATTAAATAAGAATAAAAACATTATTTACATTTATTACATAACTAAATATCAGACTTCTCAATTAAAGAAAAATATTGAAATATAACCATGAAAACCTATACAATAATGAATTAAATGAATACATATGCACACTGGTAAACAACCAGTTTCATTCATTTCTCAATTTCATCAATACATCAACTTGTCTAATGTCTATGCATTTGTTCAAATTTAATTCAACCTTTTCATACACATTCATTCAATCCCTCTTGTCGTGCAATTACTTACTTTTTCATGACCAGCCATCACCAACTACCTTACCATACAAAAAAAACTCAAAGCTTCCTACCTCCCTATCAGTGCGTAAAATGGCCAAGTTGTTAATGCGTCCTCGGCCAGTGTGGACAATCTTTTGGAGGGCAAGTGAAGGGTCATGTTTACTGGCATTTTCAAGACTCGCCAAGGGCAAGCCAGCAATGCTCCACACCTTCACGTCACCATCTTCCCCACCTGTGACAAGCTGGTTGCCTGTGGTGGTTACTGCTATATGTCTCACACTGTTTGTATGGCACATGTTGTTGCTGCTGACCTAAAAAGAATGCAAGAGCATATTTGCTACATTTCAAATAATTTACAGAAAAAAATTGTAAATGTAACAAGACAATAACCAAGAGCAGTACAAATTTGAATCACTTCAATATATCTCAAAAAAAACCATATATAGTGAAAAAACATTTCATACTACACTCTATTATCATATATATATATATGAATATATATATATATATATATATATATATATATATATATATATATATATAATGTGTGTGTGTGTATATATATATATATATATATATATATATATATATATATATATATATATATATATATATATATATATAATGTGTGTGTGTATATATATATATATATATATATATATATATATATATATATATATATATATATATGTGTGTGTGTGTGTGTGGTGTGTGTGTGTGTGTACATATATGTGTGTGTATATATACGTGTGTGTATATATACGTGTGTGTATATATACGTGTGTGTATATATACGTGTGTTGTATATATACGTGTGTGTATATATACGTGTGTGTATATATACGTGTGTGTATATATACGTGTGTGTATATATACGTGTGTGTATATATACGTGTGTGTATATATACGTGTGTGTATATATACGTGTGTGTATATATACGTGTGTGTATATATACGTGTGTGTATATATACGTGTGTGTATATATACGTGTGTGTATATATACGTGTGTGTATATATACGTGTGTGTATATATACGTGTGTGTATATATACGTGTGTGTATATACGTGTGTGTATATATACGTGTGTGTATATATACGTGTGTGTATATATACGTGTGTGTATATATACGTGTGTGTATATATACGTGTGTGTATATATACGTAGTGTGTATATATACGTGTGTGTATATATACGTGTGTGTATAGCATACGGCAATTGTGTATATCTCGTGTGTGTAATAACGTGTGTGTAATATACGAGTGCGTATATGATCCAGTGTGTGGAAAAGTACGTGTGTAGATATTATGTGTTGTAAGAATACAAAGTATATACAACTTATAATTATATCGTGTCTATAATGTGTGTGTGTGTGTGTGTATATAATCTAAATATTTAGAATATAACTAGTATATATATATATATATCCTATATAGCAGATATATTATATACAAGTATATATATATAAAATAATATGAGATATATAAGATTAACTATAAATATTATATATAGATACTAATATAATATATAATTATATATATATATATTTGTGGGGACTAGGTGTGGTGTGTGTGTGTGTGGTGGTGTAGTGGGTATATATATAAATACATAATAATTCATAGATATAAATATGTGGACTGTGTGGTGTGGATTATAATAATATATATATATATATCATATAATATATAATCTGTCGTAATTTATCTATATGTTAGTATTACTAATATCATATATTATATAATAATTATATATGAAGACTATATGTGTATATGTATATATATATATATATATATACATTAAATATTTATATTTATATATATATATAATATGTGTAATGTATAAATATAATATATATATATGTGTTAGTGTATATATTATCTGTTATACGTGTTGTCTATGTACTAAATATCTTATAATATATCCATATATAATATATACTAGTGTATCAGTAATAGGTATAAATATACAAGAGTGAATATATATATGTGTAATCTAATAATATCTCTATATATATAATATATGGTTATGTCGATTATCTTTACTAATATAGAATATGTGACTGGTATCTTGTACGTATATATATTATATATATATCATATATATATATGATATCGTAATATAGTATATAATTGTGTATATGTTATTATATATAATACTATAATAATATTGTGTGTATAGGTATATATAATATCAATATATATGTGTAGATGTCTATATTTATATCTCTTATGTGGTATTGTATATATAATCATATCATCCAATACAATATATTATGAATGTATAGTGGAGATATATAAATAGATATATATATATGTGTGTATATGTAATTTATAATATTAATAGGTAGATGTATATAATATATGAGTGTATACAGCTATTACTATATTACATTATATTATGTGTGTATAGTATATATCATATATCTATATATGTGTGTAAGTACTCATTAGATACAGATATATATGTGCTGTAATATGACTATAAAGTACTACTATAATAGTATTATATGTGTAATGTATATAATAATATATTCCTATGTGTCTACTATATATATATATAGGTGGATCTTGTATATAGATATATATATATGTGTACATGTTAAGTATAAAATATAGGTGTTACTAGATATATATATATATATAGATATTATATAGTATATAGTGTGTATATGTATGATATATATAGATAATAATATATTATATATTCTAATTAAAATATATATATATATATAAGTGATAGTGTCTAATAGAATATATATATATATAATAATAGACATCATATATATATATATGATGTAATGAGCTATTATATTATAGTAATGCATATTATAAATATAATAATACTAATACTAATTATATATGCTGATATGTATTGATATATAGATATCTCCGTATGATAACTATATATATATATATCAATTACATGGGTCTCTCTCATTATAACTATAATATATAATATAATGCTATGCTATATGTGATAAAGATATATATAATATATTGTGTTATCATGATAAAATTAATAGTATGATAGAGTAGATGGATATGTAAGATAATATATATATATATACGTGTCTATGGGAAGTATCTTGAGTTATAATATATATAATATATATGTGTATCTGGTGTTAATAGTATAGATATATATAATTTTATATCACTATATATGAATACTATGGTAATAAGATAAAGAGAGTTATATAAATAATTATATATCACTATATAATTATATATGTATGTATAGTATCTAATAGTATTATACTATACCGATACTAAACAGAATATAAATCCTTATATTCATCTATATATGTATAGACATATATATGTATAGATGTCGAATATATAATAATAACTATAGATATCATACTATATAATAAGAGATATAGGCAGGTAATAATATATATATGGATGCGAATAATGGTAATACATATATATCTATAGTCTCCTATAGAATATAATCGAAGAGCAATTATAAGAAAGGATACTCAATATGATATACTCTATATAATATATCAAATTAAATAACGGTATGATTAGAAATATGCTGATAGTAATAATGAAATATAAAATCTCGCATATATCAGTATATAAAGTTCTATATAACTAATGTATGTGTGTGGTGCGATTTGTGTGGCTGTGTGTGGACATGTGTGCTAACAGGGTGTCTGAATCAACAGTCAGTAGTCATCGGCTAAATATAATAAAATATAAATATCTATAATTACAATATATATGTGTATAAATATATATATAGTGCGCCTAAACTATTATATATATATAATATATGTGTATATAATAATAATCTTAATACTGTGATATCTTCTAAATAAATAGGTGAATATGGGTACGTAATGTGTATATAGGATAATATGGGTCATATATATAAAGATATACAGCAAGTATTGTAGATATATACAAACCACAAAATAGATATCGATAACTATAATATATATATAGATAGGGTATATCAGCGTTTATAGTATATTAATATACGTAGAATATATATTCGATAGTATTATCAATACTATATGCTCATAATAATAATAACCTAAAATAGTAAGTAGTATATGATATATATATAAAAGATGAAATACATATAGGTAATTAATATATATATTAAATAACATATATGTGTAACTATAAGCACAATATAATATAATATATCACTAATATAATATAATATACTTATATATAATGTAATCTACAATATAATATGATGTATACTAGAGTATACTAATAAACAGCCATACGATAATAATTATATATATACTATGCGTATATACAACCACACTTTAAAAAATAATTGTATGTGTATAATATATATATATATGTGTAATAAGATAATGAGTATTATGATGTGTATGGCTACCATAACAATATATATATAGTGTAGTAACCACTATATTTATATGTGATATCTACGCTATATAATATATGTGATATATAGAAACTTATATATGGAGTATAGATAGTAATTATAGCTAATAATAACATTGTATAATATATATATAAATAATATATAGTATTATGTGTGATTAATATTTATATTTTATATAAATAGAATCATGTGTGGAAATAATAATAAATATAGTAATATTATGGTATCTATAATACACGACTAATATAATAACTGATATATAATGTAGATGATATAGAAATTAGTAATATATATATATATAGTGTATATATATATAATATCTAACATTTATATTATATATTATATATACCATTATATATATATGTGTATTATATATAATATATACATGTGTATATATATATATGATATTATATAATATCATATATATATACTATATGTGTATATACATATATATATTAATAGATTATTATATATATAGATATATATACTGTGTCTAATATAATTTATATATATAGATATATACTATAGATATATGATATATATGTGTATATAGATATATATATATAGGTGTAATATATATTATATCTATATATTATATATTATATATATAATATACTATAATATATATATAATACTAATTATATATATATGTGTATACTAAATATATAATGGTATATATATATATATGTAGTATATATTATATATGTGTATAATTATATAGGGTAATATTATATAGAGGGCTATAATATATAGTGTATATCATATATATATGATGGATAATATAGATATATGTGTTATATATATAATGTGTATGTGTATATATATAATTATGTTGTATATTATATATATAATGTGTATAATATAGATCTATATTATGGTATAGTATATATAAATATGTGTAATAATATAATGGTTATATATCTATATAGTATATATAATATATGTGATATATATATAT